AATTCAAGTTTATTTGTATAGCGCTTTTCACGATACAAATCGTTGCAAAGCAACTTTACAGCAAATTCAGTTTCTACAATATTTAGTAATAGCTTATCAGTGGTGACTATGTCAGTTATTGTACATATGGCAGAAATGTACGGAAAAATCAATTAAAGACGTATTCAAACAAACGATGAACACTAGTAACAGCAATTATTATATGATGCAATCAAACGTATGGCAAAATTTGGTAATTCTGTATGTTGTTTCAGGGTTGGCATCATCTGAGGTCCTCTGAACCCATGAAGGGCCTTATAGGTAAGTAATAGTGTTTTGTAACTGATACAGAACTTTCTGTTAGCTTAGATAATTTAGAAGTTTCATCTGGTCTTGTTGAGATATATAGTTGAGTATCATCAGCATAACAGTGGAAATTAATCCCGCATTTTCTAATAATATTACCATGGGGCAACATGTATATTGAAAATAGCAGAGGATCTAGGACAGATCCTTGTGGCATTTCATATTTTACTGGTGATAATTGGGATGACTCCCCATTTAATTGAACAAAGTGGTAGCGATCGAACAGGCAGGATCTAAACCATCTTAAAGCCTGCCCTTGAATACCTGTATAGTTTTGTAATCGATCTATGAGTATGTCATGATCTATAGTGTCGAACGCAGCACTAAGATCAAGTAAAACTAGCAATGAGATGCAGCCTTGGTCTGACGCAAGAAGCAAGCCATTTATAATTTTAACAAGTGTTGTTTCTGTGCTGTGGTGGGGCCTGAAACCTGACTGAAATTCTTCATAGAGATCATTTTTTGCAGGAAGGAGCACAATTGAACAGACACAACTTTTTCTAAAATTTTAGACATAAAAGGAAGATTTAAGATGGGTCTGTAATTTGCCAGTTCACTAGGATCTAGTTGTGGTTTCTTAATAAGAGGCTTAATAACCACCAGCTTGAATGGTTTTGGGACGTGACCTAAAGACAACGACGAGTTAATAATATTGAGAAGCGGTTCTTCTGCTACAGGTAACAACTCTTTCAGTAATTTAGTGGGTACAGGATCTAACAGACATGTTGTTGGTTTAGATGCAGTGATAAGAATAATCGAAAACCGGTGAAATATCGGGTGGTGTGTACTTCCGAATGTCCAGCAATTCGTCTCTGGTGAAACTGATTGCAGGGATATAACTAAAGACAGGACAAACTAACAAAAACATAAAAACAACTGCGGAGCACGCCACGGAGGCAGTCATCAGCGTCGGCGCCATCGCGAACATTTCAAGTACCTTGAGATCTTGTTCATGATTGAAGGTAGATTAGAGCACAAGTTTGACAGGCAGCAATGTGGTCATTGTACTATAGGCTGTCTTGGTGTAGATAGAGCTAAGCCTGAAGGTTTTCCAGTCGATCTATATTCCAATGCCCACCTATGGTCATGAGCTCTGGGTAATGACAGAAAGAACGAGATCATGGGTGGCAGAAATGGCTTTTCGCCGCAGAGTGTCTGGGCTGACACTAAGACAGGGTGTGAACCTCAGACATCCAGGAGAGACTCTGAGTAGAGCCACTTCTCCTCCATGTTGAAAGTAGCCAGTTGAGGTGGTTTGAACATCTGGTTAGGATGCCTCCCAGATGCCTGCCAGTGGAGGTGTTCCGGGCATGTCCAACTGGGGAGAGACCCCAGAGCAGACCCAATACATGCTGGAGGGATTATATCTCTTGGCTGGCCTGGGAACTCCTTGGGATCACACATAATAAGCTGGAGGAAGTGACGTATAGTGACGTATACTCAGCCTGCTGCCACCGCAACCTGGACCCGGATAAGCGGTGAAAAATGGAAGGACGGATGGATTGATGGATGGATGGATGGATATCTCAAAGTTACAAAAAGATTGGCAACGTAGAATGACAGGTAGGGTAAGATGAGGTATTACAATCTGTTGCAGTGGAGTAATGCCCAGGTATGAATACTACGCTGATATGCAGTAAATTAACCAGTAAGAAAACATCAAAGAAGATGAGGAAAGAAGCTATCACTAACTGAAAGATACAGTCGATGGAGTCGGCATGGTGAAATTAGGGCCCATCAATCTAAAATGAGCAGGACATTATCTAAATGACTGAGAATGATAGATGTAGTGCATTGATCTACCTGCTAATACTAGCCTTCATTGTTTGCCACATTTTTCACATAATCTTTAGCTTTTACTAAAGCAACGTTTGGCAAAACGTATAGTCTCTGACCATATGAGAGCATTTATTTTAAACACACCAAAGACCCACACAACAACAAGAACAACATACTTATTAAATCATAGATACAGCAAAATTGTATGGTACTCTACAGCATTGTAAAGTTTCATTAAGTATAATACATGTCTTTTTAAAACTAACTACAATACAAATTTATTTGGTAAGTCAGTTTTTATATTGAGGTTTTTGATAGACTTTACACAAATCTATATGGTCCATTTTCTTCACTCTTAAAAATGACAGTTCTACACTTGCAGCACATTGTTATTAATTTATCTTTTGAACGCAGGAAAAGACGACGAGCAGGTGTGTGTGTGTGTGTGTCACTGTTACAGCCAGCAGCTGTCAACCTATGTAGAGTTTGGTAAGCAGAGTTTAGTTTGATTATTACCTAAATTGAATACCTTCTTGGAAAACAAAAGGGCTTGATTTGTATATATATATATATATTTAAAAAAATCTAAGAATGAACTGGTGTGACAATTTCAGACAAAATCAAAAACTATAGGCAAAACTATTTATTTGTTTTGATAGTTCAAAACAGCAAAATTAATGTTCTAAAAATGTTGGTTTCAGTGGTAAACTCTTATGAAGCTATCATTGCGATTTTAGAAGGAGAGGAGAGGTGCTGAGTGCTGCTGGTAATGTGATGTCACTGCGCATTAGACTGATGGGCCTGAACTCTCGGCAGGGATACACCAAAATGCTTTCCTTGTCACAGGCTGCTTTCCTTGCCACTCCAACCCCAGAAAGACCCATTCTCCTCTCCCTGCTCAACACCTCACAGTGCCTCTGATTCAATCACATCTGTTCATTCAATTCTGCAGATCTCCATAGGCACGCTGATTAAATGAAACACAAATCAAGATTTTTTTTTTTTCTGTTATCCACAGTGGCAGGGTAATGGAAGGACCTCTCGGCACTCTCTTGGTTGGTCATGGGCAGGGCAGCAAGATTGAATCAGTCAGCAAAGTTGAATGAGTGGCTCGTGAGAGGATGGATGGATGGACTGCTAATCTGATCTGCAGCCTGTCTGATCTGTAGCCTGTGGGCCTTGACTTTTGACTGCGGGAAGTGACCGCCTCAAGTGCATATTAGCCACTGTAGTCTGCTGACAAAGCCTGTTCCTCACCCCATCTCAAGCTTGAACATCAGTCACAAACAATGAAGTGTACTCTTGCACACACTCACAGACACTTGAAAGCACTCGTAGATTAAATGGTCACATCTCCAGTTCCTGCAGTCCCTTCCTTCTTGTCATAAGAGAGCTGTGGTGAGGTTCCATGTTTCACTTTGCGGCTGCTTTCCCCCTTTCTCCAGACAGATGTCTGGAGATAAAATATACAGTATATTTTGGATAAACTGTGATATTATGATCATTGCAGTGTCTGTCAAAATTTCTGAAAGCTCAAAGTCAGGGACCTGCGTGACCGGGACATTATGTTGCATAGGAACATTGCATGAACAACTGTAGAAGAATGATTTATCTGCCTATTACATGGAACAAACACAGAGCCAAATAAGCAACTAGTATTAATCATATTACCATGGGACAGATTACAGCAAATTACTCTGTTTCATTGGACATACAGACTTTGACCTAAACAACGAAAGATATGGGAAATGTTTCCTCCTCTCTTTAAAAATATATATCTAGGAATTTTGCCATGCATTTTATATATGCATTTTATTGTTTGCATACAGCATGGTTTGGGCCAAGACCCACCAATTGAGAGCCTCTACTGTATATCTACTTCCAAATGGCTAGCTATCAGTTTTATTCTTTCACAATTTCATTTTTCAACACAGGAAACTGCTGTGAGATGGTTGCTGTGTTGAAGAAGGTAATCGTTCTGCAGGTGCTCATTCCGTCGGGGACACCAAATTACAGCTTGATATCAAACAGGGAAGCATAAAAATGTGTGTTTCACATGATGACAATGATGTTGGCATGCTGTGATAGTGGGAGGGAAAAGATAGCAAATACTTCTGGGCATAATACTGACTTGCAGAACAGATGTGAAGTAAATATATATATATATTAGATCTCATATACAGTATATTGTTAATATTAGTCAATGCTTTAGCTTACATGAACAAACAATGTATTTTTACATTCATCAATCTTTGATAATGTTTGTTAATAAAAATAGAGTTATCTGTTCTTGATTACTCATATAAGAATATAATAAACAGTTTTTTTTAGGTACAACCACATGACCACACATATCTAGAATATTTGACAAAATATAACTTACTATGTAGCACAGGAACTCCGCCATAGCTGGTCCCAAGCCCGGTTGAGAAAGGAAGAGGTTTGGGCGTGGGGCTATGGAATTACGTGTGAACATTGCACCAAGCCGGAATGTTAGCACAGACCGTGAGCGAGTTAAACAGATACAATCTGAGCCTACTCTGAATCACGGAGGCAAGATGGATAAAGATGGGGAAACAAAAGCTGAGCAGTGTGGAAGTGATCATCTGGTCAGGTAGACAGGATGATGTTCAACAAGAAGGAGTGGCCTTACTCATCAACAAGAAGTACACCAATACTTTGCTGCAGTGGAACACCATTAACGAATGCCTGTTGTATGTGAGGCTGAACTCAAAGTACGCCAAGCTGTCCACCCTAGTGGTTTACGCCCCTACCGAAAATGCTGAAGGAGAAGAATAAAAGGACCAGTTCTACAGCGCATTACAGGCAGCACTTGAGGACATCCCGAAACACGACGTGTTCCTCCTACTGGGAGACCTCAACGCAAAGGTTGGCAGCAAAAACACAGGCAGAGAGAGGGTTATGGGGCAGCATGGAGTTGGAGATTGCACTGACAACGGGAAGAGGCTCATTGACTTCTGTGAACAGAACGACCTAGTCATCGGTGGAACACTCTTTCAGCATAAAACCATTCACAAGCTTACTTGGACTTCACCTGATGGGAAAACCCAGAACTAGATAGACCATGTCATTATCAACAGCAAGTGGAGGTGCTCCCTACAGGATGTATGAGTGATGCGACATGCTGACATTGGTAGTGACCACAGTCTACTTGTGGCGAAGCTGACTCTCAAGTTGAGGAAGGCAAAGATTGGAGACAGCAGAAATCAACGCTTCGATGTTGCCAAGCTGAAAGATCCAGC